CACACACACACACACACACACACACACACACACACACACACACACAGTCTGGATTGAAAGATTTAAACATTGCAATTAGATTCTATTCTTATTTAAGTTTATTGATTCTTGATTAGATTTCTGATTTGATTAAAGCAGGAAAAACTATCAGCAAAAGCACACACATAAAAATCACTCTGTGCTCTATTACACCCATAAAGGCTGAATTTTAGGCCTTTTACTTCTGGTTGGAGCTGAGCTGAGGGAGCTCCATCTTCTTGACAGGGATTAATTACTTCTTCTTGTAAGGCTGGCATAGCAACCATTATTCCTGACACTATGCGCTAAACTCAGCTGTAAACCTGTCAAATTGACAGTAATGAAGATGGATGATAAGGTCTGGGAAAAATCCCCAGAAAAGAGCAACTCGAGGGTTAAGATTAGGGTAGAGTAGGCAAGTGTCTGTCTGCTGCTTGTATTCAAGGCTCTATATCCCGGGGTTGCTTAACTTTGTGGCTCTGCTCACTAAACTCAACAAACTACTCAAAAGATCTTTTTGAAAAGTTTGATTTTTGATTGGAGCTAAAAGACGGAATCTACAAGTGATGGATCAGGTGGAGTTTATTATTCTGGCTCCAGATTTGCAACCCTGACATCAGGTTGGTGGAGAGATTGGAATGTAAGAAACTGACTCTGTGGACAGGTGTGCTTTATACATATAACACGTTGAGATCAGGAGTATCTGAAATTCATACATTAGTTATAATGTATGTGGCACATGGGCACACAGCCAATCTGTGAAAAGTTCATTTCTTTTTATTGTTTTCTCGATAAAGGTAAACAACTTATAGTGCAAGCTTTTAGACAATATTGAATCTGATGAAGATCTGTGTAACTTGCAGATGTCCAGCAGATATTGCAAATGAAAGAAGAAAGAAGAGTAGCCCTGGAGTCTGGACCGACAGGACCCTCTCCAAAAGAGAGATTTTGACCATTAACTGATGAACCATTTTTATTTATTTATTTTTTATCTCTAAAGGTTGTCTTAAAAAATGTGTTTGCTTTTGTAGTCGAAAAAGTTAATGTTAGAATTACATGTTGACACTGTGATTAATGGTGACACAATATCTAATACAAAAACCACTCAGAGAGTGCAAACCTCTGCAGCTCTCTCTCTGTGCAGTGTTTGCGTTTAAGGGAGTAGCATTGTATTTTGTATATATTTATTTTGTTTTCTTTGTTCTTTTTAAATGTAATTTCTAAACTTTGTAGTGAAATAAAAGAAGGGACATCTCAGGCCCTCCATGGTATGGAGGCCTATCTTCCCCTGCCAGTGCAAAAACAGGTGTACACACGGGTGCTCACACACACAAACTACGCCCTTTTTGGCTCCTACCTCAAAGCACACTGTGCGCTGTTGATCCTACGTGCAGCACAATAATGTTTAATATTTAGTATTTACTGTTATATTCCCATAGATCATCGCGATGTTGTTTATTATATTGCTCTCTCTCTCTCTATTTTTTTTTTGCTTGTTTTCTCTTTTTTCTTTCTCAACAGGTGATCCAGGTGATTGATATATGTATTTTTTGTCTGTTTATTTTTGTTTTTTGCCCTTTATCACCGTTCCTCTTCCCCGCTGTTTTTCTTTCTCCCTTTTCTTTCCCCCAGTCATGTCTGTCCCGTGTGTAGCAAGTGAAAATAAAATACAATAAACAATAAAAGCAAAGGTGAATCAAATTGACCAATACGGCAAGGCCGGGATGGTCCATTTGGTAAAGTAAATCCGTTGGGCATCTTTCTTTGCCTTTAGACAATAATTCTGATGGCAAAAGAACAAAGCAGGACATGAAATTATGTGATAACAGATGTTTTTCTCCAGAAACAAATGCTTTTAAACCTAAAAAGAATCACTGGCTTTCATTTATTAATGTCAGATAGGCTCTTTATACATCCTAAATAAGAAAGATTTTAGTTTACATATTTATTAGGATGGAATTCTTGACCTGGGTCAAAACTGATCCACACCAAACTGTGAAAATATGAAATATGAACAACGTGTAAGACTTAAAGTTATCAATAATTAATGTCGCTTCAGGAATGCTGGAGTTATAAAGTACACGATCACTGCAGCAGGAAACTAAAAAAGGCGTGTGTAGGAACTTTCGGTTTGTTGTACTGTATTGCGAGGGGGAACAAAACAAAGGACGGACGGAGCCACAGAAAAGTGTCGGTCCTTTCGAAGTGTTTTTATTTTTCCACGTTTTACCAACTGCATGCAATACTTCATATTTAACCCACAGAAAAACGACAACTGTGGACATTAAAGGAGCGAAAATAGGAAGAAGCGTCAAACGCAGGAACCAGTGCGGCTCTCCCACAGCTGCACCACAGCTGTTCCCACAGTGACGCGGAAGTTACCTGTTTGCGGCTCAGCAGGTATTTCTACAGTCTGCAATGAGCATAATTAGCGACGAGAGAGAAAATATACAAATATTTGCGCTGAAAATGAAGGAAAAAGACCCGCCGAGGTGTCACTGCTCTGCCCACGGCTATTACTGCAAATAAACCCCACCCAAAATCTCCGTAGCTCAAATCAGCCAAACATGACAGCCAAACGAACAATTACCAGTCCTGTTGCACAAGTGTTTTCAATATCTATTCATATTTCTAATTAATAAATCAAAACAGTCAGGACGGTCGAGAACTCATCTGCAAAGTCTCTCAATATTGTTGGCGAGACAAAATTTCTGGGAATTTCACAGCCAACATTAAAACTCATTTATGCAAATACAGTGCACAAGCCTAAATATGAATGGAACAAAAGTATCTGGATATAAGTACAAAGTAATTGACTAACTTTACTGTTATAGTTGATTCATGTTGGATAATGTGGCAAAGTACATGTACAATATTATAAATTTATTATACACTGTTTGTCAAAGAAAGATTGAATATATTCAGCTGTTGATGACAGGGGTGTATTATATAAGGTGCTCTGAGAAAAAAAATCTAAATATTTTAACTGATCATAATTATTAACAGCAAGAAAAAAACATGCTTCCGTCATGCATATAGCTTTCTAACTTTCCAGCTGCCACACACACACACACACACACACA